GCATATTCACTCTTTCTGGCCTCCACCCACTGGCTTCTAAAAATTTCTCCAAGCTTCTAGAGCCAGGGGAGAGGTACTAGAGGACTGAGCTATAGAGCCCTCCAGCTTGACCTGAAGTAAATCCTTTGACTCACACCCAGGCTTCTAACAAGCCTCTATCTTCACTCAAAAACTGTATACACAAGAGGGCGCTACATTACCCTTCTCAACTACCACATTTTTCAATATTATCATATTGTAAACTTTAGTAAAGTTTGAACACCTTAATGTGCCAAAATATAAGGTTTGCAGTGCTCTTTGAAAACGCAGGGCATAATGGGCCAATTATTTGGGGTGCCTCAGAAAATGTAAAATCAATGACCCAATACACATTGCTCCTTCTTTCTTACCAAATACTATATAAATCAAGACCTTAATATTAAAAAGTCTAGAGAATTGAGTGACTTTGTCATATTTCAAGCTGTTATTTAATTGGAGAAAAGGCAAACAACAAATATTATGACATTAAGGAGAATTCATAAAGAATGTCTAAGACACCCTTTAGAATTCCGATGTGTCTCCTCATGACAAATTGACGGTGCAGGCGACAGTTTGTGTTGAAGCACACTCAGACTGGAATGTCCATATGGAGCAGACACCCAAAGCCCCTGCCATCTGTCAGACCTCAGATACAGATAGCAGCAGTTCAAAGTGATGGAGGCTCTCCTTAGCTCCTTCTAGGAACCAGGTGCTTTGGGTGCCTGATGACTGTTCACGCTAGCTACTGTACCATTAATGCTCTGGGAGGGTTGTTTGGACCCCCTTATCCTTCCCCTTAATTACACCCCTGGAGTTCACATACCCTTTAATTTTGCCTGTAAGCAGGTTGAAATGCTGGATAGTAAGACAGCTTCTCTCCCGGAAGGAAGGGTTATGGTTAACCTTAATTCAGTAATCCTGGACATAAAAAAGGGACAGAGGTCCAGAGCCAGAGAGAATCATCAGAGAATCGTACAGTAGAGAGTAGAGGGAATCTTTCTCTTGCCTATCTCTCGAGGAGGGATTAGCATTACACCTTGCTGCTGTGAGATAGAAACCTGGGGTTCACCCCAAAGACACCAGCTGCTGGATTTTGCAGATACCATGGCCTTTATCATTGATTGACTTCACCTTTGTAGGTATGCCAGAGCACAACGCAAGCCTGAGTTAGGGATTAGGGGCGTAGGGCTAAACAGTTACTTGTGCTTGGACTATGTAATGTTTTTCCAAGTTAAATATTGAAACTTTTGTGAAACAAAAAAAAGGAGAGAGGAGTGTACACCCCATAGTGTAACATGCATAAGGAAGGTAAATGGCCAAAATAAACTCAATGGTACAAACAACTGTGGGGTATAGAGGCGTGTCAGGTGGCTTGGAGGATACAGTAAGTCCAGAGTCAGTGTTTGAATTATCCAAGATCCCTGCCTTGGCCACTGGCTGGGGAAATCATGAGCTGAAGTTGAAATGATACTGCAGACAGAGATGGATGGAGCTGCTGCAAGGTCTGGAGTCCAGGAGCCAAAAGCCTCCTGTTATCACTGCTGTGTACCCCAAAATACAGGGACGCATTTTGAAGTAATTTTGCTTCATTTTCAACCTTCTTTATTCATTTTTCAGAATTTGTTTTTTTTCATCACACTCAAACAATCTTAATCAGGCCCTGACAAGCGCTTAGCTAGTGGAGAGCCTTATTGGGCTCATCACAGCTATTTAAATGACAGGTAATATTTTCCTGGGGGTGAGAGCAATTTGTTACATAGGTTTTCCTGTGACACTGTAAATGTTGAAACCTTGCCTGTTGCCTGGTCTGAAGTTATTAAAGGAGTGTAATGCAATTACCCAGCACCACACATAGTCTTCCGCTTGCATCAGTATCACATTGGGATACGAAGACAGCAAATGGTTACCATGGTCAATAGTCAGTCAAGCAGCCTGTCGTTAAGGGTATAACTTTGTCAGGTGGAATAGCCTCTAGTGAGGGAGATGTTATTGACACTCCTTCTGCCAGGGGTCCTCCTCCTAAAGCAATGGAAGCAGACTCACATCACAGAAGGGCCTATCCTGTGTAGAGGTACGGGAGGTCAAGAGTTAAGTCAAGTGCATATACAGAACCTGCGCTAGGTGCATAGTGGAGCCACATTCTGCTACTGGGAGAGAGGTAGTGGAAAAAGTTGAACAGGTGGTTGTGGACAAGGCTCAGCATGTCTCTTCTTTTTGCAAGTCAACAGTGAAGGTATACATTGACACGGAGGACCCGAAAGATAACTGAACATTTGTTGTGCAAGTGTACACAGTGTATGTTCATCTATAAGAGAGTAGAGGCCATCCTAAGCTTGTGTATTCCCTGACAATGGCCTCAGTCTTGTCCCAGGGCATTGATGAAATGTTACAGAGTAAAGGTACCCATGTGTAAAGCAGAGAAATCCTGCTACAGGTGCCTAGCGTATCCCAGAAGAACTAAACCCAGGGTAAGCCTTCCATGTGACCCACACTTTTGCACCCAATGAGGAGGGGGACATGGAGGGAGTGTCACCAACTTGCCCTACATGCCTGAAGTTATATTTTAACAAAAATTTTAGAAAAAGACCTTTTAGAATAACATCTTTTATAACCAACACATAACCACTTAAATTGTTCAGTTAATGGTTTGTTATGATATATCTAGGTCGCCAGGAAGAAAATGATTTCCAAATTTTTAATTTTATCATAAATTAAAAAAGTTAAGAGCACCCTCTTGACAAAGCTTTCTTAGGAATATCTCATTATTCTGGATATTTAGTACATTTTGTTTCTTTGCTATAAAAACTTTTTACCTAAAACAACGAGGTCCATCTAAAGTTCTGCCAGTTTTCTCTATTCTATTAACTATTAACTTTTTATTTGTGTTACCTTTTGTGCATTGTTTAGTTTGAACTTGGACTGCTTAGGTTGCTGTAAAGTAGTTTAACACAACCTTTATTAACACTCAAATACTCAAAAGTCATTTAAAGCCTATTGAGCTGGAATAAAGAATGACTTCACATTTGGAATAAGGGTACAAGCTGTTGAATCTGCAAGCCATTGGTAGCATGCCAATGCTAACTCAACAGAACAAGACATGGTTTTTAAATTTCATGAAAATTCCCAATCTTTACGTATTCTACAATAAAAATAATACCTACCTATTATACAGTAAGTATCAAAGGAAATGTATTATACATTTTTATCTTATTGTATTTTTGTTTTGAAGAGGTGTTCTCATTTGTCAGAAAATAAATTAAAATATAGAATCTACTCCTCATTTTAGTGACCTAATATGCAAAGAAACCATAATTCTTAAAAGGGTCATTTTGTTTGGCTACATGGGTGGGCTACTAGTGGAGAAAAAGTCAGATGCTCATGGACAGTTTGATTTTGGGTAAAAAATTCTGATAAGGTTAATGAAAACAATTTCTCAAAACCCATTAGATCAGAGGCTCACTCGAAGTTCTAAGAAGCCAAGATACCTACTGTTAAAAAAAGAAACCAGTCATCTTTCATTATGTAAGAATAATGTAGTCCTAAGAAGTTGTTTAAACTGTATGCAACACAATATACCTCTAGGCAAGATTAAAAAAGTGTCTAAATTGATGCCTATATTTTAGTATTAACAGATCTGTGATGTTTTTTCCAGCATGTTAGAAATTCTCACAAGGTGTCATTTGTTAAAAAAAATAAAAAATAATTCTTGCTTTATTGGAATTGTGGACCAAGGGTTGGCCTTTACTTATAGTACTGATGATGGCAGAATCTTCCTGTTTAATATAATAAAACTGAACTTACATTTGTTTGTTAGGAATAACGTGTTTTGGTATATGGAGGGAAAAATGATAAACCCTTTTCAACAATAACCTTTACCTGTGATACTTTTGCATCTTAAAGTTCTGACAGTTGACCATTTCAAAGTGGTTGTAGAGCATTATACCCATTTGGATTTCCGATCTTATTGTTTTTTATGTTAGATATTTAGTTATCTAAAACTGGTAACATGGGAAAAAATGGTGGAATATATTATTATATAATTATATATTAGTGATTTTTGTTTTGTTTGTATTTTTTTTAAAATTGCATTTAAAGTTGCTGAGACTAGTAAAAAGGAGTAGGACTTTACGTGCCTGTTTCACTTTATTGGTGGCACAGTATTTGAGATATACTATATATATATGCCGAAACCCCACCAAAACCCAGTTTTATATATATATATATTTTTATATATATAAATATATATGTCAATCACTATATTGCCAAAAGTATTGGGGCGCCTGTCTTACACACACATGAACTTTAATCACTTCCCAGTCTTAGTCCGTAGGGTTCAATTCTGAGTCGGCCCACCTTTTGCAGCTATAAGAGCTTCTACTCTCCTGGGAAGGCTATTCACAAGGTTTAAGAGTGCGTCGATGGGAATACTTAACAGTTATTCCAGAAGTACTGTACTTTTGTGAAGAAGATCTGACTCGCAGTTTCTACTCTAATTCATCCCAAAGGTGCTCTATTAGGTCAGGTATAGGCCAGTCAAGTTCCTCCACCCCAAACTCACTCATCCAAGTCTTTATGGACCTTGCTTTGTGCACTGGCCATGTTGGAACAGGAAGGGGCCATACCCAAACTGTTCCCAGAAAATTGGGAGCATGAAATTGTCCAAAATGACTTGGTATGCTGACGCCTTAAGAGTTCCCTTCACTGGAACTAGGGGGCCAAACCCAACCCCTGAAAAAAACTATAATCCCCACACTATAATCCCCCTCCACCAATCTTTACAATTGGCACAATGCAGCCAGACAAGTACTGTTCTCCTGGCAAACCCAGACATGTCCATTGGATTACCAGGCAGAGAAGCATGATTCGTCACTCCAGAGAACATGTCTCCATTGCTCTAGAGTCCAGTGGCAGCATGCTTGATACCACTGCATTTGATGCTTTGCATTGCTCTTGGTGATGTAAGGCTTTGATGCAGCTGCTCGGCCCTGGAAACCCATTCCATGAAGCTCTCTACTCATTGTTGTTGTGCTGATCTGAAGGCCACATGAAGTTTGGAGGTCTTTAGCTATTGACTTTGCAGACAGTTGGCAACTTCTGCGCACTGTGCTCTTCAGCATGCACTGACCCTTTCTGTCATTTTACGTGGCCTACCACTTCCTGGCTGAGTTGCTTTTGTTCCCAGTTGCTTCCAGTTTGTTATAATACCACTAACAGTTGACCGTGGAATATTTATTAGCAAGGAAATGTCACCGATGGACTTATTGCACAGGTGGCAACCTATCACGGTACCACACTTGAATTCACTGAGCTCCTGAGAGCGACCCATTCTTTCACAAATGTTTGTAGAAGCAGTCTGCATGCCTAGGTGCTTGATTTTAAACACCTGTGGCCATGGAGGTGATTGGAACACCTGCGTGATTGATTGAATGAATGATTTGGAGAGGTGTTCCAATACTTTTGGCATTATAGTGTACCTGTATATGGTTACTCATAAGCAGCAGTTAATGATGGTTTAGGACCCATACCTTACCAATCACCCAGGTCAGCTTAAGCAGTAACACTGTCACCAAGGAAGCAGCCAGATATTAGATACTTCTAAACCCCTGAAGCTACGTTGCCCACTATTGCACTGGAGTGGCTATGCCAGGCCCCAGGCATCCTGTTAGGCTCTACCAAACCAGAAGATAGTTCATGTAGGGTAAGACATGAAAATTAAGCAAGAAGGAGCAGTCTATGAGTGGTTTCTTCTGCCAGCTGTCGTTGGGACCCTTTAACAGTGGTGCACTTTTACTGAGGTGTGAAACATAATACCTGCACTCAGTTAAAGTACAGCAAGATGCAGGTGTACTTGGTAATGTTGGATTGAACAGGAGGGCAAAAGGGAAGATGATAGGAGTTCCAAAGTAGAGTCAGTTCAAAAGAGTGGATTTATCTTGAGAAAAGAGTCAGGTGAACTCTATGATAGGCTGCTGATGGAAGATACTAGCTTGTTGGGAGAGAGAGAGTGTATGGCTACAGTGTGATTGCAAAGTTCAGTTCCTGTCATACAGTGGGAACAACAGGTTGATGACCCACTAACCAGTCCTGCACCTCAGTGTTACCCTGGCCATATACTGTACGTGTAGATTTTAATTCGAGAATATTTGTAAGAAAAGTCATGCAAAAAATCTTTGAACATTCGATGAATGGACAAATGTCGTACGAAAATTGTCTTTTGCTTTTAACATTTGATTTTAAAATTGAATGCAATTTCTGAACGATAACCACATACACTGGATGAAAATTGGATTGATCGAGAAAAGTTTTCCTTCCTGCCCTTTTGAATTTTCCCCTTACTGCTGTCAGAAACGAACATTAATTTGACCCCACTAACGATAATGAAATCAAACGAATAATCTTGAAATGTAAATTCTCAAACAAAAATCAATACGTGTATGGCCAGCTTTTTGTTGCCGATGGAGGAGGGGCCACTCATTAATATTATTATTATTATACAGGATTTATATAGCACCAACAGTCATGGATCATTGGCTTGAGCCCCAGTGACCAGCACAGGGGATGATGAAGGTGAAGACGATGAGTGATCCCGCTTGTCCTCCTCTAAGCTTAGCTGGAACCAGTGAAATGGTGGGCACAAATATGCTCTGATTCCTGCTAGTTCCTGCTAGTGACATACAGTTAAGATGTGAATCCTCCAGTACCTGCTACATCAGTAATCTAATGTGTAAAATTTGGACAGAGGCGCATTTTAAAGTTACCATGAAAGTAATATTAAACTCTCTGTGTTTGTAATTTAGCACATGGAGAACAACAAAATAAACATTCTCCAGTAAACTGTGTGTTAAAATTATTCTCAAGCACTTGTAATTAACAACTTGCTGCTGGCTCCTGCTCTTTCAGTGCTGCTTCCCTGAACTTCTAGTCCACACAGTAATACTAAAGGCAAAACTTTTTATTTTTTGGATAGAGTGGAGAGGGTATAGAACACCTGTTTTTATTGTTGTCTGTGCCCCTGTTAGAGAGATTCACCCACTCTATTTGTCCTATTTACCATTATCGTTGAAAGAGAAAGTAAAGGAAAATCCCAAATGTTAGGTTTTCCCCAGAAAATTAATAGAATGGAAATCGTTTAATGTGTACAATAGTTCTGGTGACCTGGGAGGGATTTCCTTAACTTGCAGGAATTTACTCTCACGTCTTGTTTTGGCTATAGGAAGTGAAGATAAATCTCCCCAATGGGACGCAGATAGCAAAAAAAACAAACTTATATGGTTCATAACCATCCCTTACTATCCAAAGTGAAAAAAAAGTTTTACCCCCTATAGCTCTACTTTAACAGCAGACAGTGTAGTCTTGAGTCCACATGTTAGCTTGGAGAGGGGAGTGGGAAGGAGGATGGAAGAGCAAGACATCCCTTCCAGGACTCTTGGGCTGTGTGTTTCTATTGATGCACACAGTGTAGCAAGACACAACTCTAGTCTCTGCATGTAAGGGTAGCTGCAAGAGAAAGGAGCCACCCTGAAACAGGAAGCCTGGGGCAGTGACCATAGTACCAGATTCAACTGGAACATGGGCAAGCAGTAAAAGATGAAGATGCTGTATATCCAGTAAGTAATCTTCTGTCTGATTAGGAGAAAAAAGAAAAATGTCTATCAAGTTCAACCCAAGAAAAAGAAATGATGAAGTTGATTAACAGGAAGGCAAACCCCGGGTGGTCTAATTTTCCCACCCCCCAAAAAAATTCCTAGCCTCCAGTATTAAATAACAGGAGTCACCAGCTTGAGCACGCACATACAGTGGGGAAACCCGATATGTGCTTGCCTATTGACAGTTTGAAAGAGGTTAGTAATATCCTAATTTACTATATGTGTTTTAATCTAGACATATCAAGTGTAATGTTATTTCATTGTAACCCAATACGTGGAAATAATTGCTTGAATTCATGTAGGAAGAACTTACTGAGAAAATTATTATACACAAAACACAGGTGTTGTATGGCCCCTCCACAATAGTGACATTCCATTTTTTTTATCTCTTTATTTTGTTTTAATATTTCTAATGGTAGATAAGCTGACTTATTTTATAAAAAAAGAAAGGCCAGTGCAGTTATCTATAGGACCAACTTGTTTATTCTTATTGGTTGCTATTAAAAATGAACACTCTTTGTATTGAATGAGGCTATACATCTAGGGATTCTACTTCTTCTTTGCCTCTGTTTCAAACCATACCTATCCTCACTCAAAAAGGCTTCCAGTTTGGATATCTTTTTATCTGGGGTCATACACACCCCAGTGTGGGCTATTCTACACTAATTAAACCCAAATCCCAGGAAGAAATTGGTTCACCTAATGCTCTGCCCCCATGTTCATATATTTTTCTGTGTTGTATTGAACTGTATTGGGTTTTGTTCAGTAGTATGCCGATATCTAGTGGAGAATTTAGACTACTACAACTGATCTATGTGATTTTTGGTTTCTCCCTCTGTCCAACCCTCCTGTTTAGTGCTAATTAATTCATTCCTAGCTAGATCCTCCCTAGCTAGATGTTCCATCAGTCAATATTAGTTGTTTGCAGAGAGGGCCCCAGGAAAGTGATTGTTCTGTTGCACTTCAAAGGACTGCAAAAACATCTTATGTACTGCAGTTAGCAGAAGTAAAATTATTTAGGATTCAATTTCTGTGTCTTTTTGATGTAATGCTACCCACTGGTTTTTGGTCTCCATTTATTTCCTGCACAGCCAGGCAACACACATTTTCCAGACACAAGAAATAGTCCATGGGCTTGGTTTTTAGGATTTATTAGGGGATTTAACTTGGATGGGGTGCCCAACTTGTCCTTCTCTAGACTACAGGAAGAAATTTAACTGTTCTAGTTGGAACAATGACAGTCTTTAGCAAAGTGACAGCTTGCAGGAGCTCCGAGTCCCCTTGAATAGATTTTTAGCACAGTCCTAACTTGTAAGAGGTCTTAGTCTCCTAAGTGAACAAAATACCTGTGCACCTGCTTACAGTATCTGATCCCAGGACAAGGGATTGGGTAAGCTAAAAACTGTCCCCTGAAGACTTGCCAAAACTTGCATCCAGCAGACTTCTCCTTTATAAGCCCTGGGGGTGTGGAAGTACTTGCATTGTCCTTGTCCTGCTTTCAGGCCTTCTAACTGGGCTGTTTTTTCTCCAACCTATGGAGCCTGTCCTTTCCTGGTGGACTGCAGGACAGTGAAGCTCCCTCGTTCAGCTCCTCTCTTTCCTCCTTTAGCTTTCAGCCTCCAGCCTGGAGGCAGAACCCTCCTTCTCCGGGGTCCCTTCCCGGGCTACACAGCAGCACCTCTCAGCACTCCATCTTCCACTTGACTCCCTTACTGGCCAGGCTCTGTCATATTTATGAACTGGTAGGCCACACTACCAGGCCTCCTGCCTGAGATTGGTCAGACTGCCATAAATATGCAGATCAGCCCCTCCTCACCTACACCTACTGACTTCTAGAAGCTTCTCCAAAGTTCTATAGCAGGGGGAGGTACCAGTGGACTGACCTGTAGAGCCACCCAGCCTGCACTAAAGTAACCCTCTATCTAAACCCAGGATTCTAGCAAGCCTCTAACTACTCTAACTAGAGTTAAGCTGCTTGTGGATGGTGCCAGCAGGTGACCATAGTGTCCAGACAGACTGGGTCTAAGGAGGTTTGTCAATGCAGAAACAGAACACCTACATTTTGATTTGAGTCACAAGTTGCCCTACTTCATAAACTTTCAATTTGTTTCACTATAGGGACTCTAATATTAAGGTATATCTATAATTTCCCACCACCTTTCTTTTCTTTCCTTTACTTTATAGATAGACAGAAATCTCCTGTTGGAAGTTTTTCAGAATATCTGGTTCATTAAATATTTTAATGTACACTTTCCATTCCTACCCTCATTTAGATGGAACCCCTTTGTGATTTGTGTCCTGCCATAGTGGTCATCGTGTTTTGGTTTAAGGCACTTTTAAATCAAGTAATTTTGTACTGGGTTTATTCTTTGAACTCCTATCCATTTCCTCTGTTTCTTGCTTCCTTAGTCTCACACTGTACACATTTTATCATTCATTTACACATTGTTGATGTGTGAAGGTTCTCTCATGCATATGTTCTTTTAATTCCAAACTAATTGTCAGCCTAATTGTGTGAATCTTCTTTCTCTTGACTGAAGTATCACTATTACATAAATACTTATTTGCTAGAAGACTAATTAAGAAAATAACTTTAGGTAAACCAACAAAATTTTCTGATTTCAGCACTTCTGCAGTGTTTTTTGAATATCGTTTGCAAAACACTGCCTAGAGCTGCAATTTAACTACTTGCCTATTGGGCCATATCTTACAC